TGAATGACTTTCAGATTACTTTTCACAAAGATATCAGTATGTTAAGTTGGGAGGAAGACAGTCAACCGCGTTACTCAATAGCTCGGGTGTACTTCAAGGTGCTGTCCTATCACTTTATCTTTTATCGACTTATGTTAGCGACTTACCTGTTACTTCCCCTGTTCTACATTTTAAGTATGCTGATGATATCGCCATTTCTGTTTCCATATCTAAGCAATCAGAACTTGTTGAATATAATACAAACCTATCCCACCTCGTTTCATATTCCGCTTTTTCCGGTCTTAATCTTAATCCTGAAAAATGCTTTGAATGTGTTTTCACTCTAAGCTGTACCCCATCTTCCTCTGACAATGTCCAGATTCAAGGAAAACCGATGAGCAGGGTCAGCCATGTGAAGTACTTAGGTGTCACAATTGAAAGTAACCTTCGATGGTTCCTACATACCCAAAGTATTGCTCGAAAGTTGAAAAGGCTCTCTTTTCAGATCAGAAGACTGCGCCAATTCTGTTCTGACTCGTCGGTGATAAACACTTTCGTTCAACAATGTGTCCTCCCTATACCCATTTACTGCTCCCCTGTAATTTTCCCTGGTTTTTTGAAGGCCGATATCAAGTTGCTGAGGTGTGGCCTCTCAATGATCAGCCGTGTCTCCCAATTTCCATTATCTGTTCTGATTGGCAATATGTGTAATGTCCATATTGACGCGTGCTCGAAGTTTACTGACAATATCCTATCTGATTGCACCCATCCTGTACACACTGACTTGTGTGCATGCAAGTCCCACCCCTGCACCCGATCCAAGTACAAACTTATCACGTCTCGCATATCCGCATACAGAAACTCTCTGGTATCTTGCCCGGATACTGACCGACAAGCAAAGTGTTCGCTCTGAGCTTTCTAATGCATTTGGTAATTAACTCATACCTTTGTACGTTTTCACATTCCACTTTTCCCCCTGTTTTTACTAGAATTGTAACGGTGGTCTATTTTTTTGCTGAAAGCTTATATATATAACTCGCTAAAGCTTGAATACAATACAATACAAAAAAACTGAGCGCATCGGAAGCTTACCTAGGTGGTCATTGTGCTCTGCCCCGCCAGGGAATAGATAATGACGATCGACTTCTTCAGTTCTGCGTAAATCATCATCTGTTCTTATCCAGTACCAACTTCCGACACAGCTCTCAACGGCCAGCAACATGGCGCTCAAATTCAACTGGTACCCTAACTCAAATCGACCACATAGCATTAAGCTACCATTGGCGTGGTTCAGTACAAAACTGCAGGTTCTACTGGACTACCTGCGTTGAAACTGATCATGCGTCAGTTTTGATGCAGTTCACTCTCCAACTCACTGGTCGCAGAAAATCCCACCAAACTCGATTGGCAGATCATCGCTTATCTGATCCGTTTCGAATCAGAACTAAGGCAAGAGCTAAATGCACTGCAGGGTAGTAGTGTAGATGAACAATGGGATCAGATTAGACGAGCAATGCACTCCGCTGCGAGAGTTGCTGGTGGATCTGAAGCGGTAGCCCGCCCGAGGCATTGGATGTCTGACCAGGCAGTAGCACTGATGGAGAAAAAGCGGCAAATCCCAAGCGCCCGCGATCAAGGCAGTGGTAGGTGACGTATGCAACGACAAGAAAGATCGTGAGGACTGGTGGGCAACGATAGCTCGTGGAATGGAAGTCTTAGCTGCATCAGGGAACAGTCAAAGACTGTTCTAACTGATNTACAGTTAGTGAAACAATCTGCGATAAAATTGGACAAGCTATTCACAATAGGGAACAACGGCTTGACCCGTGGG